GCAAGAACTTCTTTACGGTGTGGGTGACGGAGCACTAGAACAGGCTGCCCAGGGAGGTGGTGGAGTCTCCTTCTCTGGAGATGTTCAAGACCTGCCTGGATGCCTACCTCTGTGACCTGATGTAGGGAACCTGCTGTGGCAGAGGGGGTTGCACTCGATCTCTGGAGGTCCCTTCCAACCCCTACGGTTCTGTGATTCTGTAATAATTTGGAAAATGGTTGTGATTGTATTAATTAATCTCTTTCCCAGTAGAGAAACTCCTTCCAACTCCATTCCTCACTTTTTTCTGATAATCTGTTGCAGAATTTTTAGTTAGCTAGGTCCACTTTATATTTTTCAGCATAAAACAAAGAATTTCTGATAAAATTAAAGATGCATAGACATTTACGCTGCAGAGAAATATTGGATCAAGCAGTCTGACTGCTTGCACTGTAACATGTCTTTTGTGGAAAAAGAAGCATCCATTTCTAGATAGGAGGAGGCAGATAAACTTCTTTTTTCTTCTTTTAAATTAATTGTATTAATGGGTAATCACTACAATTGATAAAGAAATTTAAAAAGTGTAAGTGGTGTGAATTAGCTCGTGGGGAAGAAAATTAGATTTGATGACCTTGTGCCATTATGAACTCCCTTCTCTAAGACTTTTCTTCTTTGATTTCTCCTTGAGAACTCTGGAGCATCATCATTCTCTTCCAGAACAAGAGCTAGGTTTCAGTGATGTAGTGTGACCATAATAATTGTTATTTCTCTACCCCGTGAGTCCTTTGCTGCTCTGTGGTATTTCTTGAATTGATGCTGTGTCCCTTCTACAAGATCAGGATAAGGGAGAATGACCTCACAAACCTGTCCTGCATCTGCTTCACCTTGTTTCTTTTCTGAGTCAGTTTAGCTTCAATCTTCATTCATTGGCTCTTGTGTTTTCTGTCTGAAAAGCCTTCAAGCACCTCATGGTTTGTTTCCACCAGATATTCTGATATTTTTATATTAAAATTGAAGATGGAGTGTTGCTTGAAAAAAATTTTGGCAAGTGTAGCATTCCAATTATTAATTAAAAAAAAAAAAATTAAAAAAAAAAAGGACTGCATAAAATACAACTTTTTATTATTAAATATTTAAAATAGATATCTTTGAATCCATGAAAATAATTTCTATTAATTCATTTTATTTTACTAAAAATGCTTAAACTGGATGGAAGATGACTTGTCAGTGATGTTATTTTAACAGTCATTATTGCTGGAGTTCAGGCATCACCTTTCTGCAGGAGTAGGTTTTTCTGATTTTAATTAAATACTTGTTTGTTCTAAAATAGCCTATATACCTCTCTCTGGCTCTGTCTTGTCATAAATGCTTTCAAATTTGATGTTAATAATAATTGTAATCTGAACTCGGTTTTTCTTTTAGCTTCTCACTTTTTTTTTTCTTATGTGAGAAATGCAACGAATATATATGTGACCTTTCCAGATATTTTTTAGAGTTAAGTGGAGGACTTTTTTTGTTTTTCACAAGGGCATTTGTATCAAATATGGGGGAAACTGACAGAAAGAAAACTAGCTTAGAATATATTTGAAGTTATAAATATTTGAATCATAGATACAAGGAACTGGATGATTCTGGGGAGAGAAAGTGGAATTGGTCAATCATTCTGACCATATATTTGAGAACCATGAGCAGAGAAGATGGATAGCTTTTTTCATTTGCAGCTTTAGGAAGGAAAATATCATCTGACCCGAAACCCAAACATTTTGGATTTTCGCTAGCCTGTGGCTGCTCTGAGTGATTTTTCAGATCAATCAGATCAGGTCTTAAACTTCTGCTAATTGTCTTCTTTATGTCCTCACCATCTCAGAACAACTTACTGTAAATACTTTGTGTTAATTAGTTGAATCGTGAAAAAGTGCTGCTACTTTTGCCATTGGCTCTTAGAAATTTATTATACATATCTGAAACTATTATGTATATTATGTTTGTCTATTAACATGTTAATGAAAACTAAGGCATAAACTTAACAAGGATATTTAATAACTTCTGAATCAGTAGATCACATAAAGACTGAACAATGTGGATTTCCAGATGCCTGTATTGGGATCAAAGTATTGAATTTACTATCTCAAGAGAAATACCTTTAATCATTAACAACTGTGTCCAAACAATGTAAGGCAAACAATGTAAGTTAAGGGAGATGTCTCGAATCACAGTTTTCTTGACTATCATGCTTTAATTTATTCCATCCATTCTCCTCTTTCCCCCCTCCTGCTCCCCCCATTGCTTATGTTACTATGAAAGGTGATTGTCATGCAATATTTAACATGGTTATATTCAAGTTATTGTGGGAGTGATAGAATTACAGTGTATATCTCAGTTATCAGTCAAAACACTTTAATAAGGAATGTTTTTAGTCTTTTTAAGAGAAGAAAAGGAGAAAATCTATGACTGATCACACATTCAAATAAATGAATGTGTAATTCCTTTCTTTCATTAAGCATTTCAAGTGCAAATATTGTTAGCTGTGCCTGGACTCTCTCAATATACATTGCTAGAAACACATAGATATTAGTTTTTTATTTGTATTTATGCAAAAAAAAAAGTTGATATTATTTTCATATTCTAAATAATATAACAGTAAAAATGACTACATTACCTATGTAATCAATGTTCATGTATGTTTGAATGCAGTTTTGAATAGAGATGAGAATGATTTAGTGTCTTAAAAATCTTCCTTCAAATTGAAGTAATTTTATGTTCAAAACTACTGAAGATGTGATTGTATTGCTACATAAGAAGAAGGTTTCTTTTATTAGAGAGATATCTGTCAGATAAAACTAGAAGTTCGCCTTATGAAAATTTAGGCTAGAAATAATGAAAATAATTGGTAGCTAGAACAATTTGTGTTGTGAAACTTGATTCCTTAGAGATAATGATGGCTTATTTTAGATATGGAACTGGTATCTTTCTGAGCTTGATGAATTAATTAACATTTTAGAGGTAACATTTTTAGTGGTGACTGTTTGGCTTAGGTTATGCAGAAAAAGTGGACTAGATGATCCTAACACTGTAAAAATCTTGTTTTAAACCTGGGGATCTGCAAAGACAGAGTCATTGTCCTCAGTGGCAATACTGGTGAAAGCTACTTTAAAGAATAAACCTCAGCTACAAATTTTCCCAAATGACCAAAAAGAAGGGCTGTCTTTATTTGGTTAATTGCACTGCGTCGCAAGACATTGAAGGAACATAGCAGTGAGAAATGAGTGGCATCTGCAGTACCTCTTTTCTTTTTAAGAGCAATTATTGCTACTTTTAACCAACTGATTATCTGAGCAAACAGGACCAGCATTGCAGCAGCATAATGGAAGTAATGCAATAGAAGGAATGAGGTGTAACCTTAGTGTTGTAGTACTGTTGTAAAGCAAGCATTGTTGAACAAGTGACTTAAGATTAAGAGTTAGGACATATATATATATGTATACTTTGGTTGTGGAATTATGAAGGGAAATTTTTACCATATGTAGCAAATCGATCTTGCTATAATAATGTTTAAACTTATACTTTTTATCATTCTATGTGCCTTTAAAATTTGAATTTTTCTATGTGATTGAGTACTCTAACCTCATAGTTTCTTCTACTGAAGCAAGAAGAAATCAGATTAAAGAAAGTTGTCGTCGTGCCAGAGTTCATTTTCTTACATAGTAATCATATACTCAGTACACTTCTTTGATAGGTTTATGTAGCTGATATTAAGCAGTTACAGGAAAGAAAGAAGGAATTACTTATCTCAACTATTGGAATAAAAATACTGACCAGTCATACTATAAAGAAGGGAGAAGCTAATTTATTTTGCGCTGTAAATTTTAATATCAACTATTTTTCAGTCTCTGGTATTCAGAGAATGAAGTAGACTAACACTGATAAATTATAACACTAAAATCTTTTGATAGTACTGTGATATAAGTAGAATGGGGAAGGATAATTTTAAATGGTCTACAGGGAAAACGAAAAGTAGTTTTAAAAATCTAAGTGCATTTCCATTGCATTTTCCATTGCTTTTGTTGTGGCCATTTAATGTAGTTAATTATATGCCTTTTCTTACTGCACATCCCGTTGTCTCTGTCATTTTCAATGTTGTTCTTGCTTGGCTAAACTGCAGTCAGGTTCCAATTTTACTCTTTAATGTTGTTATAGAGCATGAAAAGATCCACTGATATTCAAAGGAAAAGATTGGGAAAAATGTGTGAGTGTTTATACATTTGCACTTCGAAGATGCTGAATATTTAATAGCAATGTGTTGTTCTAAAATACAAAGTTAAAATTCTATTTTAAGTTGTGAAAAAATAAGCTATTTTTCTGAAGGTTGGATCCTGCTGTCTGTGTGACTCCTGACTTTCTATTTACTTTGGCAGCTGGGGATACTTCGATGGTGCTGCTGCAGTCAGTGATACCTTGTGCCACTGAAACTAATGTCAGAAAACCAATAAATTATTTGGGATTGAGATTTGCTTGTTATTGCAGAAAGAGGAAGTTTTGTATCTAATTCAATTGTTTCTTCAGTATGGAAACAGCTCTTCCTGTTGTAGTTGAAGGGAGAATGTATGGATGCCTGTCTTAAAATTCTGCTTGGGATAATTTTCTTGGTCATAAGCGATACTTTTGTTCAGTCAGGCATTGTTGTCTTTATTTAGGATTATTTTGTTGTGGTTTTTTTTATGTTTCAGTGTAGCTCTTAAGCAAATCTGGAGAGCTCTCATTTCCTGAGCAAGGAGAAAGGTAAATTGAATTGTGAGGCTGTGATCCTGCAGTATGTGTGCAAGCAAAATGCTTTCCGATCTCAGTGGAGAGGTTTGTGTTCTCTGAGATCCAGCATGACAACATTTAATAGAAAATATGTCCTAGCCAGGAAAAAAAAACTAGGCATTTCTATTGATCTGTAAGCGCCTTTCAAAACTTCTCTGATCAGACTTTTTTACTATCTTGTCTTGAGTCCTTTTTTTAATGCCATCTATTATCAGATTGAAATGGCGATTGAGACACTGCAAAAGTCTGATGGTCTGTCCACTCACAGAAGCTCTCTTCTCAACAGTCATGTAAGTTGTCTCTACTTCACATACACTCTCTTTTGCTTGTTCTGCATGCTTAGCCTGCCTCTGAATGTTTGTTTTATTTTATTACTACTTTGTGCTCTTAATCTTTCCATCTTAGTTGCTTGTAATTTTTTACTGCATCTCTCATGGCTTTATTTTGTCAGATTGAATGTCTTGATGGTATCTTGCAGGGTATTATTTGTTTCTGAGGTTTTAAACCTGTGTTAACACAAGTTGACACATCTGTTTGTTTTGCAAACTATAGTGTAAATGGTGAAGTATTGTTCAAAATTATGCTTAATTAGCTGGCTTTCGACATTTTCAGTAAAATTGCCTACGAAGAACAGTCTGTGTACCATATATTAACGTACAAGTATATGAAAAGGAAAAGGCAAACAGCATAACTAAATAATGTCTTCAGATTAAAACATTAAAAACATTTTTAGATGTTTTTTCATTTGTTCTGAGTAGTGAGCTGATTATGAAATAACTTGGGTATCTTAAAGATTCATATCGCAGCGTGGAAAGAAATAGAATATTAGACTAAAGTACACATATATGTCTTAATTAACTATCTTACTTTTTGTTCACATTCTGCAAATCTTAACAGTTAAGAATTTTCCACACAGGAAGCTTGAAGACGTGTAAGAACATGATCTCCAGATATAGTGATAAAAACAATAAACATGTCTGTGAGATGAAAGGAGAAGGGCACAAAGTTAATTTGAAACTTATTATTTATAATCATATTACTTTGTTTATTTCTAGACTTTCTTGAAATGATTTTTTTTCTGTTGATGTTAGTCGTTTTATATTTGATATTTTTTCCATGTTGATTAGGTTCTATTCACCTTGTCTATTTTTTTTCAGCTTTACTAAACTTTACTTATAGGTAGTTACATGCAAATTCTTTTATTGTTTTACAGTAAAAAATTACATTTGGTTTATGGTTTTAATGTAAAAATACAAGGCTGTCACTCAGAAATCAAATTAATAATCTATGTAATAATCGGTGTTGGATTTTTTTCTGTATGTGTCTGATAAACTCAAAATCATAGCCAGGATTGTTCTGGGTCATGTGGTTTTGTTTGATTGGTTTTGGTTTGTGTGTTTTTTTCAGTTGTGGCTTTTTTTGTTTGTTTTTTAAGAAAATGCCAATATTTAATGAGGAGAACCACACTACATTGTTATACAAAATATTATACAGAACAGACTTTTATATTGTAATATTTTAGATTTTAATTCTTTTGTGAACATCCAAATGTTCCAGATGTTTATAACATAATCACATTGAAGACAGGACAATGAACAATAATAAAATAACTTAAATGTCATTGTAAAAGGGACCATTTGTTTGGCCAAGCATTAGAAATTTCTCTTAGCATTTGAACTTATCCACTGGTTGATATGTTTTGTTTAGTCTACTTTGAGGTTCAAAATTTTGGTATAGAACCAAAAAGAATTATAAAATATCCCTTGCTTCCCGAGCTATTCCACTCACTCCTGGTCCTCTGTACTATTTACAGTGTATAAATTGTATGTCAGTAAATTGTTATAGAAATGTGATCATAAGATTTGTATCCAGATGTCACTGCATTGTCATCATGCTATTTCTTTCTTGATTGTGAAGGTTTACAGAATTATTTGATAGGAATATATCCCTTTGACTTGAGAAAAAAAAAAATACATATTTTTGTGGCAATCAATTTTTTCCTTCACTTCAGTCGTTTTGGAAGAAGTCGCTGCGATCTAGATGAAACTTACTAAATATGGTACCTTATTTAGAACGCAGTGTTTATTGACATAAAACTCAAGAAAGGCCAATATGTAGAGTATTGTTCTTTGTCTCTTAAGCTTTTCTTATATTTGTCATTTAATAGTCTAGTTGACATTTATTAAAATAATTGGCTTTAAAAGTTTTTAAAATAGAATTCTAAATTGTGTATTGAATTAGTATTAATTTCCACTTTGCAAGTCATATTGATTTGTGGAAAATACTTGGTTTTTCACTCCATGATATGTATAATAAACTTTCTGGTATTTTTATTTTTTTTTTCCTAAATGTGCACTTATTTTAAGGAATTTGCCATTTCTATCCTTCTTCTTTTCTCTTCTGATTGACTTCTGCAGTGATACTTTACTGTTCTATAAGCATTGCAGCTTAGTTGGAGTTGGAGTCAATGTAGCATGTCTGACCATGCAAATATTTCATACTTTTAACCATCTTAGCCATACAGTATAGTCAATATTAAAGCCATGATTTGAACCTGAATAGCTCAGTTTTATGATTATATAATTTAAAAATTGTTTAGAATACTTTTATAGTATTTGTAAATAACGGTCCTTTTAAGATCACATACTAACTTCCCTTTTTCTTCCAGGCTATAATCTAACAAATCATATAAAACCGTGATGATGGATTACTTTTTCATTTTGTCTATTTGAAATGCAATATTATGTGCACACATAGCTGTAACATTTTTTGTCTTGGAACCATTTACACAGTTACATTTTTCTAGAGCTTATGCTCAAGAAACATAGACATAGGCAAATACGGAACTGCTGTTTAAATGTTCTAGAGTAAATTCAAAGAAAGTTTTTTCATTTGTTTTAGTAAGTTGCTCAAGGTGATTAAAACAATTGTAAATTCAGTATTCAAAGCAGCAATCTAGCAAAGCACCAAATAACACATGGACTTCATCAATCTTTTAATGTAGCTTAATAGTTTTTTATTTTAGTTATTCTGTTTGCATATTTGAAAATTAGGGTGGCTGGAAGAAAGAATAGGACAGACTCTTTGGCAAGATCTGTTGTGATAGGACAAATGGTAATTATTTCCAACAAGAAGAGGGGAGATTTAGAATACATGTAAGAATTTATTTTTTTTTTATTACAAGGGTGATGAGGTGCTGGCACAGGTGGCTCAGAGAGGTGGTGGAAGCCCCATTTCTGGGACATTCAAGGTCAGGCTGGATGGGGCTCTGAACAACCTGATCTAGCTGAAGGTGTCCCTGTTCACTGCAGGGTAGTTGGACTAAATCATCTTTAAGTATCTCTTCTAATTGAAATGATGCTTTGATAAGATCCAGTGTCCTTGGTTTGGGGTTTCATTGGGGGATCAAATTAAATCCGAGTTCTGATTAGTTCTCTGACCATAGCAGATTTAAATGTTCATACAGAATTACTTTGATTTAAATAGTTAGGAAAACAAGGAAATAGAATTCAAATAAAAAGTAAATTAATCATCCAAGATAAATCTAAGATAAATCCCTAAATTTCAGGGAACAGAAACCACAGCAATTACCAGAGAAAGATAATGAACATTTTAGCATGCCCAAAAACAAAAGCAGTGGAATTTAAGTGTGTCCTCAAACTCTACTGTTTGTAATTTCTTTTTTTGTTCTCGTGTACTGTTAAATCTAGCACTGCTAAATTGTCATTTTCACTTGTTTTATATATTACTGACAGCTACAGTGTTTTGTGTTTGCATACCGTAAAGTCCAGTGATGCGACATGAAAACTCTTTTCTGGCAGTTTTCCAAAAATGCCTAACTTTGTAGATGAAAATATTCATTTCTATTTTCCAGCATTTCCAAAGGAAAGAAGGCCAAGACTTACTATTGTAGCCCTAATGCTATACAGTTGTTGCCATTATTTTCAATGTTATCTAGATTGTTCCTTGGCTCATATGCAGTAGTTTGTTGTTTTTTTTTTTTTCCCTGTGTACTTGAGAGCAAAAAATAATTTAAAAAAAACATTAAAAAAATCCCATTCAGTTTAGTTTTATGTCTTTTAGTGTCTGACAAGGAAAAAAGAAAAGCACTAAATTATTACATTTGCTAATGTGCTACCTAACTATTGTTAATCCAATGAGTTTGTTTTGTGAAACAGTATGAATTACATTCTGTATTATTTTATTTCTTTGCAGTGCTAACAATTTGTTTCCAAAGCATAGTTGGTGTGTGGTACTGAATCAAAATATTTTTAAGAAGTGGACACTTAACTGAGATCAAAGTGTAATGAGTTCCACTATTTCCTGGTAATTCTGAAGATCCTAAAACAACATGGTATAGCTAGCATTAAGAGGATCTCTTTTCAGTAGGCCTGAAGAATGACTTCTGAACTGTCATAAGTTAATGTTGTAAGGTTAAGATATTTTTAATAAAGTAATAATTAAAATTATTTTTTTCCTTTTTTTTTTTTTTTTTTTTTTTTTTCTTTTTTATATGTGAAATAGCTTCAGTGGCTTTTGGACAATTATGAAACTGCAGAAGGAGTGAGCCTCCCTAGAAGTACCCTTTACAACCATTACTTACGACACTGTCAGGAGCACAAGCTGGATCCAGTCAATGCAGCATCCTTTGGAAAACTCATACGGTCAATTTTCATGGGGTTACGGACAAGAAGACTTGGAACTAGGTAAGTGTTAATGACATCTTGAACTATAATAAGAAACGCAAGCAATAATTATGAGTAAGAAACTTTTCTGATATTAAAAACTATACATAAAGCTGTATGTAAGCATTACATTGGTTTTCTGACAGTTATGTTTATTAATTTCAAACATGTTAATGCTTTTCCGATGTTGTTATTATTTTTACTTTTCCCAATTTTTACTGTTCACATTTTGATAAATACTCTGCAACATAAATTAAATGCAGTCTATTGTTTGGAAATTATGAAGGATTGTGTTTCTTTGTGACTTTGATGAGATATGTATATATAACCTTGTTTTGTTTTGTTTTCATAACAAAGTGTAAAATGTTTGGTAATATTTAAGAGAGTGAATTCATTTCCCAAAGGTGTAAAATTATACCCTGCCTGTAAAAGGCAGGTATGGAAAGAGAGTTAGGGCTTGTTTGTACCTAATCTCTTCCAGTCAATGAATATGCATAAAACTAATGTTATTTTTCTTTCAATGCTTGCTCTTTCATAAAGGGGGAACTCCAAATACCATTACTATGGGATTCGTGTCAAGCCAGATTCTCCTCTTAATCGACTACAGGAGGACATGCAATATATGGCTATGAGACAGCAGCCCATGCAGCAGAAACAGAGGTAAAGTGTGAAATGAAGATGAGTACTTATTAATATTTCTAGTTCATAGGTTTTTACTTTGCTTTCCACTGAAAAGATGAAATTCTAATATGAACTCTGTTCAGCTTCCCTACTGTGAAAAATAGAAGTTTGCCAAATAAGCAGTTTATGTCACTGAAGTCACATACCTGTCAACATGAAAGAATATTTACATAGAAACTTAAATAAGTTTGCAAAAATTAATAATAAAAAGTGAGATGTTGTAAGAACAAACTCTTATGAACTACCTAGAGTTATTTTAACACAATCTGAAGAAAAGAAATAGGACCTTTAATTTCAGATGTTGGTGTTTTCATTTCAGTATGGTTTTATGGATAATTTGCTTATAGCAAGCTTATGATTAAGGCCAGTTTGATATTTATTTTCTCTCCTTGAAAGAACTAGCATGACCATAATAGCTTGCCTGTAGGCTGGTTCAAGTATTTGCTCTCAGCATCTGTTTTTGCTGAAGATCTGTGAAATTACAGAAGTATTTGGAAGAAGTGGTATTTTCTGGGAAGAGTGAAGGATATTTTTTTTTCCACAAGAGTGGAAGAGATAACAAAGGCACGTGGTTTTGGTGAAAGAATGTGAGGATATGCACATAGAAAAAACTACAAAGAACAGACAATTTTAGGGATAAAAAAAGGAAATGGTACACTTACTTGAAATTGCTTTGTACTTGAATTGTATTATTATTCTGCCATGTTATACTAAAGAGAAATATCTAAGATTTCTGATTTCATAAAACATTGGTGGAACAGGAGTATATTAAGCAAGACATCTTTAAAGCTGTTACAAAAATTAAAGTTCAGTTTTACTGTGAAATCTTTCTCATAATCTATATGTCCATTTCAGACAGCTGGAAAAGACATTCTTGTCTACTCCCGAGGGCATTCCTCACTTGTTTTCAGTTTCATTTCCATAAGTAAACGTCCAGCTTGGAAATTAATTTTAATATTAATTTTTAATATCTCAGTTCTTGTACACACCAGGCACGTGTTTTTGTTTTCATTGGTGGGAACTGGACATTTAACTAAAGTATTTTTTAATAAATTCATTAACTGATAACTATACTGTTCTAACCAGAACTCATTAATCATCACTTCCTGTTGACGTTATTTACTGTAAATATTTATTTTGTGTAGAAGGTAAGTTGTGTTTTTTCTATTCTCGTCAGTTTTCCCAAGTTTCTTGTACGTACTATTTAGTCAAATATTACCTTTAAACCAAGCCATTGTAATTCGGAAACATCAAGTATTTATTGATTTTTTTAGAGAAAGAAATGCATTAATGGACAGGAGAGAAATTATGGATTTTTATACTGTTTCTCCATTTGCAGATAGAGATAGGTGCATTACAGTTCTGACATACTAGCATCTGTAAAACTGCTGCAATTCTATTGTCATAGTATTCTAAAATGATAATAAGAGAACTTTGTGATGAACTACTAAAAAAAATCCCAAATGGAGTTGTTTAGAAAACATCCATAGCCTTTCTTTAGATCACACACATATCTTTTATGTATAGCATGGTTGGGAAGTTGAGCTTATTGTGGCTTAAAAAACAAGGAAGTTCTATTTCAGCTCCTAGATTAGGGATATCTCAGGATCCAATACTTTTATTGAAATATGATCTGTATATTTTGTTTGAAAGTTTGTGATGTATTCATAGCAGTTTACTTGGAAAGGTTTTCAGTTCCTTCAAATACTAGACAGTACCTAGCATCAGCTTGATCTGAATATGAAAAAATGTTGAAGCCTGCCAAATATTTTTCATATATTTCTTTGGTACGTGTAGATTTTGTATGTATAGTACTTTTTTAATATATTTGATTTTTCTGTAGTTAATAGCTTTAGTATTTGTTGCCTGTGATATTGCAAACTGCTTACACTATCTTGATTACTGTTAATTTTTAAACCTGATTTTCCCCCATTGAAGGGAACATGATATTTGTACACAGTATACACACTTTAGCACATTAGCTCATTCTCACAAAGAGTGAACTAGGGATGAATCACAAAAATAGATTTAAATCTAAGCATATTGTTAGCGCAAGCTTAGTTCTGCTTGTATTTACAATACCTACATCTTTTTTTTTTCCTTTGGCTAGCCATTCTCATCTAAGGTGCCAGAGGTCCACCTGTACTTCAACTGCCAATCTTAAGTTGTTAACTGCTCTTTGCTTACGTTTCATGTGAAGCTCCTGGCAATAATATTTTCTTTTCTTTTTCATTCATTGGTTTAAGTGATTTTCTAGTGGTGTTGAAAATTATTAATTCCTATAATAAGATACAGAATCACAGAATCATCTGGGTTGGAAAACATCTTCAAGATCATCAAGTCCAACCATCAATCTGGCCTGCAGAGTCCCTTACTAAACTATGTTCCTTAGTGACATATCCGTATGTCTCTTAAATTCCTCCAGGAGCAGGAATTACCTGGGCAACCCATTCCAGTGCTTTAATTATGTTACATTTTGAGTGAAGATTCTGTCTAGCATGCTAAATTTAACTGAAGTTTAATTGAACATCTGCATTGCTTGGCACTATCCACTTGTACCTGACATAAAAATGAATGAACCTAAATACTGAAAAAGGAATTGCATCTAGCATTTTAAATTATGCACTTTGTTACTTCAGGATTTTAAACGCGAACATTTGTCATGAAGTTACACGATAAATATGATATCATCATTAGACAACATTAACTGTTGGTCACTATCCTATGTTAGGAATTGACCTAAATACTTTACTGGAGTGAGAAGTCTCATTTCGAAAATAGAGTTACATATGGCCCTGACTTTATTTCTGAAAAGATTCATCAAAGTTAGGTTCTTTATGGCTAAAATACTAAGGAAAGATGTCTGATACAATAATTTAGAAAATGAATTTTGAATGCTTTCGTGATCTGTGCATTATTTTTTATAGCCAGAAATGCCTCTGCTGTGTGGTAAAACTGTACATCAATATGCCAGCTCCATCAGAGGAGCTGGTGATGACACTGACAACTCTTTATTTTTAAAATTGCTGAAGCTTTATTTTCTGGCATGAAAATGGGAGAAAAAAATCACCCCCTTCTGGGTGGTACCAGTTCAAGTGTATAAATCAATCCTGCATTTATAATACAACACTAAATTTAGCCCAGATTTAATCATATACTATTTCTTCCCTAGCCAGGTTTAGAGATACTCTGCTGTTGATGCAGAGCAGACTTTATGCTAATAAGAATAATCTTGAGATAGGAAGGTGAGTCTTTCTTCTCCCCGCCTCTTGAATCTGGCTTGTAAGACAAAAGCAAACAAGTGCATTAATTCTTAACAAGAGAAGGGTATCTAATAGCACAGTCTTACCACAAGCTGTAACACTAAGACATAGCAGCTATGGTCAACACTGCTGCTTCTCCCATAAATACACATAAAGTTAGTTATTTCTTCTTAACAGAGACATTATCTCATACGGGACATTTGTACTCTCTCTAAACACAGGCTAGACTGGGGAATCCAGAATCAGACACTTTAACAATATTCAATATTTTCCTTTCTTTCAAAACCTGTCAGGAACAATTAAGTAAGTGTAGGACCACACCATTTTGCCATAATGCTGCCAATAAGTTTGAGATATGAAGTTGTGGAAAAATACTCATCCCAGTGAAGATTATATGATAATTATGATCCTTAAACTTGGCAAGAGACATCAACCTCTTTTTTTACATGCAGCACAGTTAAAGGCAAGCATGATATAGTTTGATTAAGGAAAAAAAAAGACAACTTGCACTAGCAATTACATAATGTACTGTATATGCTATAGTACTTATATTGCATGGAAAGTAATGTCTCCTATACATTTCCATGGAAACTACAACAAGTACAAAGAGCACAATAACACTATTTGATGACATGTTGTTCAGCTTTGGTGCTCCTCTTCCACTGACTACAATTCTGTTTTAAAAGTGCAAAGTAGCCAAATTCTTGCTACTAAGAGCTGAGAGTAAACTCTCAGGTGTTTTGCAAGTCACAGATGTGACCTATTGCATGTCAGATGTCTAACAACATTTGACTATCCAGTCTAACACTCCTGTTTGAATAACTGTACTTTTATTTTTTAGACTTTATGAAAGATTTTGAGACCTCAGTATGAAGGATTTAGGTTTTCAAAGTCTTCCATTTTTGTTGTCTTCAGATAGCAGTGTTATTTTACTTAAAATGGCATAAATTAGGCAGTCTAATGATTATGTTGTTCTTACACTAAACTCCAAAAGAAATTGGTAGTGGTGCTGTAATATAAGTTTTATAAATTCTTCATTAGTAATGTGCAGGCTGCCCTTAGTAATCATGTTTCTTCTGTCATTTGCAAAGAAAATAAAAATTTGTAAATTATTTTTGTACTTTTCTGTAAATTTTTGTTTTGAGATGGAGAAATCAGGATAAACATAGCCTGTGCTGTGTGAGCTCATCTATGAAGAAGCTAACAAAAAGGATAATTTTGAAATTGATATTTTTGTAGGTATAAGCCCATGCAGAAAGTGGATGGAGTTGCAGATGGCTTCACAGGAAGTGGTCAACAGACAGGCACATCTGTTGAACAAACTGTAATTGCCCAAAGTCAACATCATCAGCAGTTTTTAGGTATTAAAACATGTTTTTTTTATTCTACTACAAAAATAGACAAGATGAACTCCGCTGCAAATATCAAGTCACACAAGTACAAAAATTGTTTCTAAAGTTATAATGGCTTTTTAAAATTTCTACTAACAACAGAACAAAAAGGCACTTAAGCTTTATGTTTTATTTATCAGGTTTTATGTAATATTTAATATTAATCATTTAAGTATAAAAAGAGGAATATGCAAATTCTTTATGTGATATATTTGACATTCTGTAAATCACAACACAGTTGCTGTGCAGAGTGATATATACACATCTATGTTGATATTCTGGGATGACATTTCCTCCCTATGTGTTTGTTACAGTGCATTTTATTGATTAACAACGTGGGTTAAGCATTAAGCATCTAGTGATCTTTTTTGAGAGTGTGCTGTAGTTTTGTAAGTGGAAAGAGACAAATAGTTGCAGCTGTTTTTTTGTTTTCTTTTTTTACTTCAAAAATGCTGTCTGAATTTCTTCACAATTTTAACATAGAATAAGTGTGAAAGAATCTTCACTGTGAACGTAAAGACATTCTAGAATTTATTTCTTTGTATCATCCTTAAGTCTTTTCCTGATCATAGGAACAATAGGCACTGTTCATAACTGTGTTTTTTCATTGTGTTGTTATGGAAACAGATGCATCTCGAGTACTTCCAGAATTTGGTGAAGTTGAAATATCTTCCCTACCAGATGGTACAACCTTTGAGGACATCAAATCACTGCAGAGTCTTTATCGAGAGCACTGTGAGGTATTTCCTATAATTCCTACAAATCTTTTTGGTTTTTTTTTTTAGGTTCATTATTTCTAGTGAGTGAGAATCAGTGCAAGATAGTAATGTTGGATATGCTACAGCCATTCTACAGCTGGCTTCAGGATATTTTGCTTATTTCACTGGAAGGGCATTATCTTGCTAATTCTACTGGAATGGTCACTAGGAAAAATGCTATTGGGAGGATTTCCTCCGTCAGGACAAAAATGTATTCTAAAAAGTAATATTCTTGAAAATGTAATCATATGTATGCATTCCAAATTTTTTAGAGAAGCCAGACTTAAAATTGTATGTGCAGATCTTTGGCTTTGTCAATAGGAAGTGTAAAAAATGTTAAATTGTCATTTAATTGCTTACATTTAAAAAAAACCTTTTTTTTCTCATTTTAAAGAAACATTGGGAAGATTAAAATAAACCTAATATTGAAAAATATATATTTTAAAACTACTTAAAAAGGGTTTTCAAAACGGTACTGAATAAGCGAAATGAATAAAACAGCGAGTCTGGAGTCGTATCAACTATCTTTGGGAAAATTTCTCTGACACATTTACATAATTTATGTTCATTTCTAGAGGCTTCTGTGCATGTACACTTGGTCTTACTCTCTGTGCAAAGCATCTTATGCTGTTGGATAATACATCGATTTTACTATCAATACTTAGCGTACATACTTAGTATACATACAATTTTACTACTGTAAAAATAGTATTTATCATTTCAGAAATGGGAAGTTTGCCCTTATTCCACTACATAAAAAAAAAAAAAAAAAGCCATTTCTCTATTTGGAGTTGGGACTAGAGGGAAGCTAGGTAAAAGACAATCTGTATTTGCATTTTATTTTCTCAGGCAATTCTGGATGTGGTAGTGAATCTTCAATTCAGCCTGATAGAAAAGTTGTGGCAAACTTTCTGGCGCTATTCTCCCTCTACTCCACCCGATGGTACTACTGTTAATGAACCTAGGTCAGTAAATGTACTGTCTTTGTGTACTGATTGTTATAATAATAGTTGAAGTGTCAAACAACAGCATAGACATTACTGGTTTTACTATAAGAGTAAAAATCTTTTCTTGTTATGGTGCATTTTAAAAATAAATTGATATTGTCTGTTAATATACACAGCTTATATGGCAAATCGCAGTCTTGAAAAAATTGTCTTTTTGTTTAATTATTATTATTTTTATTAGACAACTATCATGAAGGTGTTCTCACAGTATTCTATCCATTTCTTTTAAGCCTACCGGATTCATACTTCTATATAATTCATGGGCTATACCAGATCTGTGCAAGCATTCTAATCCAGTTTCAGGTGACACAAAGTGAAAAGAAGTTCTGTTGACTGTAGTTGAGATATCTGTAACTGATTTATTAAATAATGATTTTAATACCAATTGCTGTTTTTTGTCTACTATAAATGCATTTTCATTTATTCATTTGCTGCATTTGTTCATTCCAGCAATCTGAGTGAAATAGAAAGTCGACTTCCAAAAGCAAAACTGATTACTCTGTGCAAACATGAATCTATTCTGAAATGGATGTGTAACTGTGATCACGTGATGTACCAGGCTTTGGTGGAGATTCTCATTCCTGACGTCCTTAGACCTATTCCTAGTAAGTTGAACACAAAACGTTTTGTAAAGAGATTTTTTTTTAATATGTGTGTGGTCTTATGGCACATGGGCAAGTTTTTGGTATTATTTTTAAAGCTATAGAACTACTGTGTATCTTTTATCCCTAAGTCTTTTGTGTAGAAAGTTGTCCTGAGAGACAATGTATATATGCCTTATATTTTAAAATATCTGAGGATCTTAGTGCAGTTGAAGGGTCTAATTTTCAAGATCAAGTTTCACATGAAAAGTACTTAAGAGGCACTGTGACCCCTGAACCAGTGTAAGCTAATGTCAGTGAGTATTTCCATTAAATGAAGTTGTTTTTAGCTTACCAACATTACAAATTACTATTTAACCAGTCCAGAAAAAATGTATCTGAGCCTTGTGTTTTCATTTTTTGACATTTCGATTTTTGTTCCTTATTAAAAAGAATCAACTTTAAAGGCTGTTATGGCAATGAAGAATTAATTCTGAATTTTTAATTCTTTTTTAATTTAATTTTTAATTCTGATCTACTGTTTCTTCTTCATATATCCTATAAGGAAGAATCATTAACTATCTGTCCATTCAATCATTACCATAGTTCAAACATTACCTAAGTGCAAGTTTTTACATGGTATCTCTTTAGTTTATGGCACCTTGTCTTTCGATCAGATGCATTGGGCGTTACCAATAAAAGATGTCAAGAAAATGGGTTGCAATCATCTCATATTAGATATCAGGTCTCTCTCAGGCTATTATTTTTTTTTTTCTTGCTAGAATTAGCTCTCATTTTTTAAAAATGTTACTCTGTTTGAAAGTATCTGTTTTGAGACTGCATATCAGGTTTATTGATACATAGCACACTTCTATTCCCAGGACAAATAATTCCCAACAGATTTCTGCCTTTATTTTCTGACATTCCAGTTTTTTTGCTCAGAAAGCAATCAGAGTTGAAGCCATATAATATTTTACATCTGATCTGAAAGTAATGTCTCCTATTTTATTATCTTGGCCCATGACATTGGAGGCAGATGTTGCTCAGCAGAGGTTGAATGCTCCCACCAGTATTCCATTACATGTTGTTGCCATGTGATAGATGGCAGCAGAGGGGCAGTCAGACAGAATGACGTCTGATATGGAAGTGTGGGTGAAGCAAAGATTTATCTCAGAATTCCTTCGTGTGAAAAAATGGCCCCCACTGGCATTCGCTGATGCTTATTGAACCTTTACAGATACCAAACAGTGGATGTGAGTACAGTGAGGCCGTAATGGTGTATTTCAGGAATAATAGCAGCAACACTGGGTCATTTCTGCTGGTGCTTGTTCATTGCTGTTGAAAATGGACAGCTAATGGTGGTAACTGTGCTGACAAATAGAGTTTTTTAGCTGGGAATTTGCTCTATCAGTGGTACCTTGCTTTTTGTATCTGTTGTAGTTTCCATGGAAATAAATTGGAGGCATTACTTTCAGACCAACCTATGTATTTTCTTGGTTTTATCTTCAGGACCAGCTGCTTTTTTAGTCAGGTTTCCTGTAACAACGGTACATAAAAATTCTCTCTTTACTATTTAAAGAATGATTAGTATTGTAACTCCTACTTTTGAATTAGAATATCTTCTAATTCCAATTCTAAACCATTGCAAAAGGCCAAGAGAAAACTTAGAGATTGTACATAATGATTGACTATGACAAGAATGGAGCAGAGCTAAGTATATAAATTGATTATTTTCTGTGGGAAAATACTAGCTTATGGGAAAGTTTAAGAAAGTTTAGAGAAAAGGACTGTAAATGCTTTATCAAAATTAAGTTCATTTCTTTTTTCTAAGTACATGGAAAGGTAACAACAGCAGCTGCTGAAAATGGGAAAAACAAAGCTTAGTAATTAAGTAAGCATGATTCTTCAAGTTACAATTTTTCTAGATTTTTTGTATTTTTATTCAAGAAAAATTTCTGTGCTATTCACCTGTGTGATAGATATTACTGGAGTAGAAAAGGTAATTGAGGAAAATATAGTTGATTTAGCTTTATCCTGTGTTAACTTTGTTAGCTGAAATGTTCAGTACCCACAAAATGAATGAAAAATGCCAGTGCTTAAAAGGTTCAAATTTCTTTTCTTAAGAAAAATATAATGCTGTCTGAATAAGGAATAAGTTGAATTATTGTCTAATATCCTTGGCAATAGACTTGAGTCTGTGTTGTACTGGCAGTGGATCTTTTTTTCTGCACGGTAGACTTTTTGCACCTTCACCTGTGCAGAATGGGCAGAAAAGTTGCCTGGGAGTTTCTGTCATAGGAGAAGAATTTATGTTCAGTGTATTTTCACATTATATTACACAAATTCAAGCAACCAAAAAGTACTGGAGAGACTGTAAAGCTTTCAGAAAAAGACTTTGTTTGTTTGTTTTTGAGATTTATATGTTAGAGAGCTTTCAGCTGCGATTCAGACTCTAGATTGTTAGGTTCTCATCCAAATCAAATTTTCTGTCAGTAATTCTGATTGCAAAATTATTTTGTGTATGTCTAGTAACATTTGACTTAATTCAAGCCCTTTACTCTGAAGTGAACTCATTGTATAATTCTTTGAAAAGTTTCTGCTCTGTTATTCTTTCATGATAACATGAAGAAAGCATTGATGCAGGTCCATAAGTTTTTGGCAATGAGTGGATGCATACTTAAAGATTTAGTATAAGATAAATTCTATATTTAATAAGATATCTGAAAAATTCATTAGAAATTCACCATACAATACTGACATTTGTTTATCTGATATAGTTATAAAGAAGAAATATTTATTCAAAACTTTGAATTCTTCCACTTCTTCCTCTACTTTCCTCCTAGTTAAAGACTTTTTAAAAGATGTAACTGAGCTGCATTTCCATATTTATTTTTAAGGGAGATTAACTTTGCAATGGTGAAAGTAATTTCATAATAAATAATTAGGTGAAAAAGAATAGTAAATGAATCAGAAGTGATAAGAGTAATACTTTCTTTAGGTTACTAAATATAATTCATAGGGTATTTGTATTATTCCTTCCACTCTGCATTTTCTTGCTCTGTAGATAAGAAATAAAAGAAATGAAAACATAGTTAAATAGTAAGAGCAGAGAAAGAATTTACTAAGTATCAGAGGTTTGCAGAATAATGGATAGAACTGAAGAGCTTGTTCTCTATGTGAAAACTTCAAGGTTAAACAAACGAACATCTGTTACCATAGAATACTTACCTTATTGAGATACTTTGTAAGACCTAGGCATACAAATGTGTGCTCCTTTATGTAGGTTGCTAATATGATTTCTATGCATTAATAGTAAAAATTCAAAGTAGTGTGAAAACGATAGAATGAAGTACTTATTTTTAATTAATTGATCTTCTAGTAACAGTTTCCATGACTAAAGGGTTTACCAGTAATTCAAACAGTAAAAAGAGTATTTCTAAGACATGTTCTGTCAGCCTTAGTCTACCAGAAAGTATTCTGCTCCATAAACAGAACCCAGTCTTTACAGTTTCCTCTCACATGTAGCTGAAATCATTTGAAAGTAAATGTAGTTTCTTTTTTCTAGTGTTTTTACTTTTCATTTTTGCACCTGCAGTGATTCTCCATTTTTAGAAAACTGCAGTTTTTATTTTTGTCTCTTTTCCCAGCTGTTTGAATGGACTCTATTAGGTCAGTGAGCAAGTGGTAAGTATTAGAAAGCAAAATTTTTACTACTCAAGAGATAAGATTTTCTTTTTTTCCATGTGCAGTTCCTTGTGTAAAAACTTAATTTCCTCCTTCTTTAATAACTACATGGGTTGACCTGAAAGTTATACCTCCTGGTTATTTTCATGGATACTTCAACAGCTATGAAGAGCATAGTAATCTCTACTTGGTAGAGAAAATTTTGAGCTACCAGACACTGTTTTTCATATATAGGCATCACCATTATCTGTGCGTTTTCACCAGCGATGAACAAGAGCTTGCATGTTGCACTCATAAATATTGGCATGACTGGAACATGGCTTGTCTTTCACTCACTGTCACCACTGCTGCAATGTACCACCCACCACCTCACATTGCTCACATCCACTGTTTGGTATCCATAACGGTTCAGCCATAATTAGTGAGTGTCAATGGGTGTAATTTTTTTGCACATGGAGGAATTCAGAGGCACACTTCATCCACACTTCCATTTAGACTTCATTTGGTCAGACTGCTTCTCTGCTGCCATCTGTCACACGACAACAACATGGAATGGAATACTGTCAGGAAAGATCAGCATCTACTGTTATATCTCCAACGTCTGCCTCTGATGTCATGGGCCATCATAAAATAAAGGCATTACTTTCAGAGTAACCCTCATAAAACTTTCTTTTTGACTATACTACCGATTGCTGCAAAAGCTTCAACTCCCCTCAAAATCCTTGTCATCCACCCAAGCAATTCTGTAGATGCTATAGTAAAGGAAAAAAGATTTTGCAGCTGCTTGAATAATTACTTTCTGTCAGTGGAATTTAGTCTTACATTTTGCTTATTGATTATATCCTTATTGGATTTTGTTCTTTAAAGTGGAAATAAGCACCATGACATTGATTCACACTGCTTCAGGTCTATTTGAGGAAACTGCAGTATTCCAGTAACAGGAATTTTATAGAGATTTGCTCTTTAAAATATGTACTTAAAGGAAATGGAAAGCTGAGAGATAGAAATTTTCAGTGTATGGGAAATAACTGCTGCAATTACAGATGTTTTTATACAGAAATGCCCAAAACAATACTGTTTGTCATCAGCTTCTTGAAAGATTAGGTGAGGAAGTTCGAACTGTTCATTAAAACAAAACTAAATCATTGCATAATTAGAATCTGAATTAGGCGTTTTGAACCCTAGTTTGTTTTGTCTTCCAATAAGTAGAAGGGATGGATCTAAATATTGAGCATGAAAGTACTGAAGATGCAAAACATTTCAAAACAAGTACTTTGCTTTCTTTTCATTTGCTTTTTTCTTCTTTAATGTGCAGGTGCCTTGACCCAAGCCATTCGCAATTTTGCAAAAAGCCTTGAAGGTTGGCTTTCAAATGCCATGAACAATATTCCACAGAGGATGATACAAACCAAGGTAGACAAAACTATTGCAGCTTTATTCTTGCATTTGACAAACCCAGTGTGCAGTAGCATACAAAAGCAGTAGTGTTTTAACTTTAATGCTAAATTTCATGTTTAGCATATCGTCAAATAATGGAAGAGGAAATAAATCAGTTTTGTCAAAAAATTAAAAAGAAAAAAGAAAATAGTTTTGATCTGCTACACAAATGTAATTCACATTATGGATCGTTAATACAGAATATTAAAATGAACATAAACAGTGACAGGTGCATTAATCTACAGATAGATTAAGATTTAAGGTAGTAGATTTAAGATTAAGATAAGGTGGTACAAGATTTTAAAATAAATTAATTTCTTCATAGGTTGCCGCTGTAAGTGCCTTTGCCCAGACTCTGCGAAGATACACATCTCTAAACCACCTGGCTCAAGCAGCTCGTGCTGTTCTTCAAAACACTTCTCAAATCAACCAGATGCTCAATGATCTTAACCGTGTTGATTTTGCCAATGTTCAGGTAAAATTTAGCTTCAAGTAACAAGTTTTGAAAAATAATTTTGTTTCCTCCAAATCCAAAGATTTTGAATTTTTGCATTAGCTGTCATTATTCTTTCAGGAAAAAAAAATGATAAAGTTTTAATGATTCATAGGTGCACTAACTCAGTTCAAATGTACTTCAGGAAAGTAAGAACTTGGAGCCATTATCTATTTTCAAGTACTTATTCATTTCAAGTACTCAAATTATTCCAAATTCTCTGAAAACATGGAGCACATACATTCTTTGAATGGGTATATCATGAGTAATGTCTTCTTAATATCATAAATGATACTGCATAATTCAGTCTCAGGAGCACAACTCCTGAATGTCTCTGAAAACAATTAAACGTGTAATGTTGTTTTTAGTAGAGGCTGTTTCATTCGTTCAAATACAATTACATTAGTATGTTTTGTCTAAGTATCTGTGCTTAAGCGTATGAGATTTCCAGAGTAGTTATTAGATTAATAAAGATTAGAATTGGTTTCTACTTAGCCTTCAAAAAAGGTTTCCCGCATGATTCTACACCTTCACTGAAGTGTTGTTTTCCTTTTGCCCAACAAAGTGAAATATTCCAGATGACTGGAAGTTCTCTGTTGGGTTGTTTTTGTGAGGAGATAATTTTACATATAAAACTCAGTTTGCTAGTGACAGTTTTATTCTTTATACTTTTCTTATATACTTTTTAATAAATATATTTTAACACACACAGTTAGATTATACAGCAATATGTAAACTATGAATGGTATTGAATGATGAATATTGAATATGAATGGTAGCATTAGAATTTTTAAAAGCTTCTTTACAAGGATCCTGTGAAGATCAAGTCATGCTGCCTGACTGCTACAGGGCTAACGAAAAGTTCAAGTGTATTTTTTAGGGCATTGTCCAAATACATCTTGAACACTGACATACAGAGTGTATCAACCACATCTCCAGGAAGACTGTTCCAATGTTTTGCCACCTCTTGTGGCACAATTTTTTCCCATCCTGTCCATCCTGTCACTGATGACCAGTGAACAGCGCCCAGTACCTTTCTCAGTACTTTCCCTCCTCAAGAAGCTGCAGGGAGAGCTAATGTCCTTTTAGCCTCCTCTTCTCCAGGCTGGGCAATCTGAGTGTCCTCAGTCTCTCCTTATAGGACATGCCCTCCAGCCCTGTTACCAGCTGTGTTGCCCCCTCCACGTGCATGCATTCAAGTATTTTAATATTTGCTGATCACTTGTTTTTTCCCACCGCTCTTCCCATTACTGGGAGGACTGCAGAAAACACTGCCTGTGATTCTGAATCCTTCAGCTGTCTTCGAAGGACCTTTAAATCTCTTCTAATTTACCTCAGACTTGTTCTTGAAACATCATTGGATGATGTTTCAAGAATGAAAGAACAGGTGTGGGTGGTGTACTTGACCAAGGATGCAAAATGTTAATTATGCTAATAAGTTAATGTAGACACAGCCTGCTAATGTTGAGGTGTTAACTTAGCGCATGATAGCTAAAGTTTAAGGATAGGGCTTGAGTGAGTCTTCACGTAATCTCTTAGTTTTTGAAGTGTCCCACTAGACTCATTTAATCTTGATAATGCTGATCAAAGTGTTCACTGTTATATGCAATCATGTTTCTCCATTTCTTTGCAGTTAATTTTGTACATGTGTATATGTGTAACATACACCCAGCAAATAAAGCAATTCTTGTTCATGTACAAAACTTTATTTTGTGGGATGGTATAACTCAAGTTATCTTGTTCATACTGGATGGAACCTTGCACTTCATTTCTTGTTCGTTGTCTTATTATTTTAGACCCCCCCACTTAACTGGTGTTTCTGATTGGCATGTCAGCAGTCCCAACAAAAATTGACAATTCCCAAATATTTCAGTAGAAAAATCATCAACAAAGAAAGTAAAAGATATCTTCTGAAAACAAATGTGGAAAACTAAAACATACTTGTGTCATTTCCATTGTTCTTTATTTCTGCATATGACAACTGATTCTATGTGTTGTGTTTTCCCCACCTACTTTCTTTGAACAAAATTGTGACAGACATAAAAACAAAAACTAGTTTTTAGTTTGTTCTATAAGCATTTTTTGTCCTTTTCCTCCACAGAATTGTTTAACCTTTAAGAATGAATTGCATTCTGTGCTTTGTTTCATATACTGTTAATTCAAGTGCTGCTATTTGCTCTAACAGGAGCAGGCTTCCTGGGTGTGCCAGTGTGATGACAACATGGTTCAGAGGCTAGAAACAGATTTCAAAATGACTCTTCAACAGCAAAGCACTCTGGAGCAGTGGGCTGCCTGGCTTGATAATGTTATGATGCAAGCCTTGAAACCATATGAAGGAAGACCCAGCTTTCCTAAAGCAGCACGGCAATTTCTGTTAAAATGGTCTTTCTACAGGTAGTATTTAATACTTGTAAAACATTTTAACTGTTATGTTACTCGCTGAATTGTTCACTGTAATGAGGTTGACAGATACAACGTCAAACTGTGAGTCACTAAGTTACCAAAAGTATGTGGGTGGCTTTTTTTCCAGAAAATTGCTATTAACATCAAACTCAGAGACACTTACAACTTGGCAAGGACTTAACTGATACTCTTGCTGTTTGGAAGGCCATATGAATGCAGGTAGAATTTTGTTGTGAGTTAGAAACACAATGTGGAATTGTTGGGTTAAATAACTGTACAATTATTAAGCCACTATTTTTAATTTTATTTATTAATACAGTGTGATATGTGTGATTATTAGCTAAGGTAAACTTTTTTTACAGTATAGAAAGTGGATTAAAGCAAGTTAGCATTCCATGTTAGCTGCTTATTGAATCAGTTGTGAGTGTAAAGCTGGTTCTTTGAAAATGATTATGTCAGCTACTTGCTGAAGATACCAGAATTTGTCAATCTAAGACATACACAGAAGTCTTTTTCTAATTTTGTTTAAACTTTGAATTATTAAAATCATGGTAAAACCTTTTTATTGGGAAACCTAAATGCACAAATCTTGGTGGTTATACAGATAGGAAAGCAAAGGAACAAGGAAAAAAAAAATCCAGTTTTTTCTTTTCTAACATGGTGGCCAGCAACATCTTCTGCAAAAAGAGAAAATCAAATAATTGCCTTTCCTGAACACCTCTTTCCGAAGACACCATCAGTCAGACATTGTGCATAATGTTTGTAAGAATACTGGTTTTGAGTTGAAATGTTGGTATGGATAAGCATTAATGTGACGATGACATATAACACAGATGTTTTTTTCCATTTTTGAATAGCTCAATGGTGATTCGAGATCTAACCTTGCGCAGTGCTGCTAGCTTTGGCTCTTTTCATCTGATCCGCTTGCTTTATGATGAATACATGTTTTACTTAGTAGAACATCGTGTTGCTCAGGCCACAGGAGAGACACCTATTGCAGTTATGGGAGAGGTAAGATAATATGTAAGAGACTAGATTTGATAGATTTATGATGAATTTGAGTACATACCTTTACAAATTTTATAAACTTCCACGTGAATCTGTAGGATGTTCTACAGTGTAAGAATAGACTGGGTTACGAATATATTAACAGTTTCACATTTGTTTCGTTGTTTGACTGTCAGAGTTCTGAAATCACACTGAATTCTAACCAATTATTTGCAAACAAACTTGCTCCTTCTCAGATCTGTGCACAGATTAATGTACCTAAGTTTTGGCACAGTTTGAAAAATGTTCATCTCTTTTTTTTTTTCTTTTCTTTTTCCTGAGAACAGAGTATTGTAAAAATTAAAAAAAAAAAAAAGAGGGGTCGGGATAAGGAGGAAATAGGAAACTGTCATTTACATAGATCTATTTATTTACATGTATTTAAACATATATTTGGAATTGCAGTACAAAAATTATCATAATTGCAGTACAAAAATTATCATAAGCTGTCTATTCCCAGTGACTTCAGAAAGATGTTATCTATTTGGTCCATAGGGTATTGTTCACATTCATGTACACTTATACTTAAGAGATCTGTGACACAGTTTATTTTCATACATTTCAAAATTTATAGGCTTAAAAAACACAAAGAGCCTCAGCTGAGGACTATGGCACCTGCAAGGCGAGGTTTATTTCATCACTCTTTTCTCCAGTAATTCATCTAAACTTCTGAGTGAGATACTGAAGAATGAACACATTTTCATCAAATGTTCTCCCAAAGTGATGGGAAATTTATGTATTTGAAAATAAAGTAGATGTTTTATGGCACAGCTTTATTACATTTTCACACTTGGGAGTCACTGTGCGATTTTTGTTACTGATAACTTGCGAGTAATTTTGCAGGTTGATTTGACATCAGGTTTCATTCTTCCTTCAAATACACTAACAGTATCATTAAATAGTGTATATAGATAGCAGACTTTCAAGAGAGATCGGACATGTCTCACTGTATTTGTGAAATGATTTCCTGACACGTGGCATGAGGGTTTAGACAAATTAAATTACAATAGTAATTTAATAGTCTATTTCCTTAGTCTGCCCTATATATGCAGTAAGATACTTAGAAGTATACAGTTATTTCATCTTTGCCTTCTTAACACACATCCTATATTTATGCATCAGTTTTTAGGAGTTGTTTAGTTGTTTATTTGATGTAAACTGAAGGTGGAATCCTGAAAAAAATTAACAACACTGGCTGGTACAGGAGAGAAGGCGCAGATACTCATTAAATGCACGCTTGTTAATCATTTTCTATACTCAGTGACTGTGACTGAAATAAAAAGAGGAAATCTAAGACCAGATCCGTGTCAAACATCACAGGACAGCGTATGCTAGTATTGCAGCTGAGATTAGCATGTTCATTTTCCTGCCTTCCTTTTCTCCCAGCTTTGGACACTTGTCAGCAAAAGTACTGACAAGTGCTGCAGTTAACTGGATCAAATTCATTCAAATAAAAATGCCCTGTGTTTATAAGTGATTATTTTTCTTTTCAATCAGTTCTGTCTATTGCATAGCTGTGTGAACACTTCATGCACAAAGCCAAAGTAGCGTAAGGCTAAGCGCGAGGACATGACATTATGGTATTGGTGCTCATTGCATTAGTGTTCCTTAAGTTACTGTTTTGTCTTACTGTATTTCTGAAAAAGGCTGGTATCATTTGCTGTCAGAACTGTATAATTTAAGTAAAACCCTCCTTTCATTTGGGATTCACTGAGGACGTTCTACTCTGCTAATTTCTTTCATTTAAGAGAGTTAGAGAATTCAGGAAAGGAAAGGAAGGAATGTTATACATCTAGAATATGAACAACATTTTTGCAAATACATCTTTTTAATACAAGTAAATTGGTTACCATTTTGTAAACTTTTCCTCAGCAGTGCATTTCATCTGTCTTCCAGGTAAATCTGCAATGCTATAGCTGCATTTAGAGACACACCTTCATTTTTCTTTTAGCTTCTCTGGGAAATTTTAAAAAGACATTTTGGATAAAATATCGATAGTTCAAAATATCTGTCACAGTTTCTGACATTCAGCATGGAAGTAGCTCACTTCAATTGATAAAGGCCCTGATGATGCTATCTTGAAAAAGAATGATATAAGTTTGTAGTTCCCCGTTTTAATTTGTGAAAATTTCTTTAGTGACAACTGTCTTACTAAATACAAGATGGAATGGAAAATGAATTGATGCATGATGGATGTGGCTGCAGTGCAGGCCATGTGTTTGCATGCTAGCCTCAAACCTGTGGAGCACAGTCTGGCTCCATCACAGGCATTCTACATACTATTTGCATAAGACTGTGCTCAGTTTTTTCCACTGTTTACTTTGCAGTTTGGTGATTTAAATGCTGTGTCCCCTGGAAATATGGATAAAGGTATGCATTTTAATCTTTCCAGTATATAAGTCAGTGTAGAATTAATGTGTCTCTGAGCAAAATAAGTAGAACTTAGAGCTGTATCATGCTATAAAATGCATATGTTTGTTTTTCAGATACATTGATATCCAGCATATAATAATTACTAGAATATCATAGCTATGTTTATTTTAAAGACGTTTAGCATTAACACAGGAAATGTTTCCAGTTAAGCCTGGTGTTACTGGTGTTGTGCCTGGTAGTACAAAGAAGCAAACAGCTGTGGGAAGAAAGACAAGAGTAGGCTTATGTAACTTTATCACTGCTAAATGAAGATTTAGCATTGCATAATGCTAACTAATGCATAGTTAGAGTTGCATGCAGTTGCTACGTAGCTTGCCAGAGAAGATGGTGGGAAGAAATGAGTTCCTTACGAGCTCTTCATGCCATATTTTGACATACATTTTATACTGATTGGTTGTACAATTTGATGTCACATCACAACCTCTTTTCACTCATTTCCCTAATATGTAATAATTCTTCAAAAGGTTTATCAGATCTTGAAGATGAAAGGGATTTTACAATATGAAGTTACTGTTGTTTGTTAGATACTGGTTTTGGGATTGGTAATTTCTTCTCCTTCTTTCATCACTAGTATCTAACTAGTGTGATCAAAACAATGGGAGTCTATTAATCTATTTGATGTAATCATTAGCGTTTTCCATTAAAGTTTTAAGTTTTCAGTTTGTACTTCATCAGATTGCTAGTCATCCCAATATCTTTGTATTTCAAATATTATTTGCAAAACAAAGCCATTTGTATTAGATCTTTTTTTTTTTTTTTTCCTTTATGCAGATGAAGGCAGCGAAGTTGAAAGTGAAATAGATGAAGAAATGGATGAAAATGGAGAGCCGCAAGCAAAGAGAGAGAAAACAGAGCTAAACCAAGCATTTCAGGTGGGCTGCATGCAGCCAGTGCTTGAGAGTGGAGTACAGCAGAACCTCCTGAACCCAATTCATAATGAGCACATCGTTGCAACTACTCAGACTATCAGACAGTGCAGTGCTACTGGAAATACATATACTGCAGTCTAATGTGAAACTTCTCCCCTCCCCCCATCATTACATTAGCCCTTTGGGTTTAAGAGGAAAAAAAATAAAAGAGAAAAAAAGTCTGAAAATCGACTGTTGTCAAATTTCAGCTGTACTGAGCATTATTTTATTGGAGTCATTAAATGGTATGGGTGTAAACATTTTGCCAGACCTGTTTAAAAAAGATTTTCTTGTAAACAGGATCATTTTACATTGGCCACTCAATATGAAGAGTTTTCTTATAATCAAATGCAAGAAAGATTTTTGCAAAGCTTGGTGTTAATGTTTTTGTCCTCTGATAATAATTTAATTTTTTTCATAGTTTTTTTTAAATATTTTAATGTTCATTATTGGTTATGGTGATGATTTCATATACATAGGTTTTTAAATAGATGCACTTCTGTGAAATATCAAAAGAACTATTTTCTTTGATTTACACTGGAGGCATACTTATTTGACAACAGATGTATCAAGTTTGTTATAAAAGGTGCTTTTCCGTGGACAACTAGAAGACACTATTTTGATAAAATTGTGAGTATTCAGGGGGATTTTTTGTAATAATGTTGAAGAGTTGAGAAGATATACTAGTTTCTTTCTGTGAGAAAGAAGCAAGTTTAAATGGCAGAATTGTAACAATGTGATAATGTGTACGTACGTAACGAACGTACCTAATTATCTGACCATCATGTTAAGAATGCAAGGTTCATTAAAAATCAACAGTTCCAGGTATTATTTGCATACCAGTTCCTCTGTTTTGAAGACTACTGATACTAAATGTGGTGCCACTGAACAGGTACTTTTGGCTGTTGAGTGGGACTGTAGTTGTTAGAAGCTGAAGCTGAAAAAGAAGTGACTTAATTATTGCTGTTAATTTTTAAGTGTACATGCTACTTAAGCTGGACTGGACATACAGGAAAATATTCCATTTGGATGACTTTCTTCTATTCCAGGTCTTTTCGTATTAGTGGTTCAATCTGCTGCTCTTAGAAAAGATAATTTATAGAATGCAAGGAATGTAGCAACCTGCATCATTTTCCTTTCACAAAAATATTTCCTTGTTGTTACAGTGGATTTAAACTTCTACAAAAAATTAGGTAAGGCAGTGTAACTGGCACACCTCACTTTTACTTATTCCCAGTTGTGTAGAATTTGAATAGGTGGCTAGATGGACCATTGCCATTTAAGAATGTACATCAGGGATCATTGTACCTCGGCTATTACATGGTGCCTTAAACAGAACTGAAGCTAAGACTTAGTACTTTTTGTTATTCTTAACTCTTAAATTAATTCAACAAGGTGTGCCTGTCATTTTCAAATTCCCTAAGAAGTAAGGACAGGTTACATAGCCTTCAAAATAATAAAATGATTTTTTATTATTAAATGATTTTAATATCCCTCTTAGAATGACAATAAACCTATTTTTTCTTGTTTCTAGCTGGATTTCACTTTATTACAAATAAAATTTGCTTGGGAATCTGGAAGGCAAAACTAGCTTTAATACCACATTCAGATGTCAAGATAGATTGACTATAGTCCCAAGCATGATTATATATATTTTTAGACCCATGTCTACTTCTAATTTTAAAAGGTAAAAATGAATAAATGAGCAGGTACACAATGCAGTGCATGTTTTCAATTTGTATGTTTTGTGGGGTATCAGCCTGATTTTACATTTTAATGGCTCGATCTCGTATTGACAGTTTATATAAAGCATACATTAATTGCCATTTTTATTCTTAAATATTTCATTATGCAGACACATGAATTTGCCACGTTATATAGGGCATTGAGTAAGAAAAAAAGAAAAAAAAAGAAAAAAAAAAAGCCAAAAAGTGAAGGAGAGCACAAAAACATCAACTTTATACAAATGACTGTGTAAAAAAAATTAGAGGTTCTTTTGGCTTACCTACAGTGTCTGTGACATGACTTTAAAGTAATATATACCAAATGGGAGAAGAATAGCAAAATTAACAGTGTATTTATAGCAAAGGAGTTTGTTGCTATAGATTACATGTGCTCCAAATACAGCTACATATCAACTAAAATGTCCTAACATTATTGGTGTGCAAAATTAAATTTAACTTCCTTTTAAAGAGTTGGGAGGTAAACCCATCCTGCTTACTCTGTGTAGGCATAATTCCTGCTTGATGTTAATAAATGGCTTTCACCTCAGTAAGAAGAGAAAGTGAGGTTTATATTCATTATTTCTATACTCATAACTGCACTGAATCTCATTATAGATTTTGCTCTCACATATATTGCTCAGTGTGTCCTGATTAATCCTTGGAAATCAGCGTAGATGTACCCTTCACCAAAAATCCTAAAACTAAGCTGTGATAAATATTTACTCCCCTTCATTGTGCATTATAAGATGTTTACAATTAAAATAAAGTGAAATAATTCAATTTTTTTTTCATTTTAAACTTTTTTAATACTGTAGTACTTCATTCAGTTTTTGTCTTGGCAAACCCTATAATGTTTTCTTACTGTCTTATTGATTTTAATGTTGTATTTGTTGTTGCTGAGAAAAGAGAATGATTGTAATAGGTAAATTTAGATTGCTGAAAGAGGTGGGACCTGAGTATCTTTAATTATTCCGTTTCCCACTCCCATCCCAGTTGTTCACTGTTCACAAAGTGAAAAAAAAAAAAAAAAAAAAAAAAAAAAAAAAAAAAAAAAAGAAGAAAAAAAAAAGAAAAAAAAAAAAAGAAAAAAAAAGGAAAGAAAAAAAATAGAAAAATTAATACAAAGATAGAATGTATTTCATAGCTTCTACAAACAATGAGTTATCAAAACAAACTGGAACTATCCCAGATTGAGAAAATTAAATGGCGTCTGTATTTCTATGCTTATCAATTGATTACTTTTTGGAATTTAAATTTTTTTTTTTTTTTCCTCATACTTGTTTTCTTACAAGATTTTTAGAAGAACTAAGTTGCTGTAAGCTAGTTTGTATAGTTGCAGGTTTGGAGGTCTTGTGTTTTTAAATTTAATGAAATTTTAATCAAACACAGGTAAAACATTTTGCACACTTCTGCTATCTTTAATAGTTGGGTTTTAGTAATGATTAAACTACAGAGATATGAATACCTCAGTCCAGATTCTATGATGCGCAGCATGTGGTTGGCACACCAGCTCTGAAGTCTGTTGCCAGTGCTCTGGAGAGGTTTAGCATTTATCCACAGGGTAGACCTTATGAGGGCTGATAGTGGTTTATGTGAAATGGAATTCAAAATAACTATTAAAAGGCATTTTCCCTGTCAGCACAAATATCACAGTGAACAGTGTAGGGGAATGGGTATTGTTAAACTACCTTTTCAAAGCACAGGGCCCAATTTTCAAAAGTTTTATATTTATGATGATTTGCTGGTACATTCCCAATTTTTTTCATGGTAAATCAGTTTCAAAGCTTTTGTTTTTCTTTTCTGGTTTCAGTTGTTATTTTTGTGTTTTACTCATGTACTGTAGCATGCTATAAGCACCTTCTTTTAAAAAGACCTCCCTAGAAAGCTGGAAAATAGATTTTAAATTATTTACCCATACAGTAATGACTTACAGAATTACAGCCTTTAGTTCATAAATAAGAAAATAGGTGATGTTCTGGTGTACTGTCATTCAGGAATGTATAGGCATATATACAAATTTAATTCAAAGCGAGGTATTCTAAAATATCTAAAACCTCTTTTTTCATCTTTCCTTTTTCTCCTAAGAGACATGATATCTTTCTGAATATCACTAATTGACACCTGCACTGTTTAGAAAACCTTTTAGATTTAGAATCACACTGGATTCAAATCAGAATGGTTTTACAGAACGAAAGTAATCATTTTAGCTATAAAAGCAGGGAAGGAAAAATAGATTTATCAATGATGTAAGTATGACCTACAAGAGTAATTTTAGAGTTTAAAACATTCATTTGAGAGAACAGCATGAATTTCTGAAAATTGGGCCCTTGTCTCTCTAACGGGACATCCTCTGTGTATATGGTTTAAAATCAGTAACTGGAATTGTAGTATCTCTGCTAATTTGTTTGGTGATTTAAGAGAAACAAACAAACAAAAAAACTGGAATAGGAGCATAAACACACAGTGCTTATTTCTAGTATTATAAAATTAATTTAACGTAATGCCTTGCATTAACCCTTTGAGCATTGTAAGTCATATGATGAGAATAAAGCATTTTAGGTCATTTATTCAGTCCATTTATCATACACTTCAAAATAGCTGATTGATGGCATTGTAGATTATTATTACTTTTTTATATAATTCTAAAGTAGATACTTGCTTACTATACAGGAATGGTTTTGTGATAGGTTCCATAGATTTAGCCAAATATTCACTGCCATTGATGTGTATTGCCTAATGGAAAATAGTTCTTCATCTCCCTTGTTTTCATAAATGCAGAAATACGTGAAGAAAATCAAATGTGTTTCTATGGACATTAAGTTGTCTAATATGATGCCTTTAGAAGATGAAGGTTTAGGAAAAAAATACTTATCCTTTTTTGAAAATCTCCTTAGGTAGGCTAGCATGGAATACTCCAATAATGTAAAAGAGAATCATTAGAAATTAAACGCTTAGCGAAAAAGAAAAAAATTACAGAATATTTGGTATGTTTACACTGAAGTTTTCTGCCATCTTTTTCTTAAACCAGAACCCAATTATACTCCTTTTAACATTCAGTCACTGCAATAATAACTAAGGCTAAGGTGAAGGTTTTTGACTCAGTTTCATCTGCAGGGGTGCAAGGGATGGCCCTTACTGAACATGAGAATTTTAACAGCAGCCTAGAAACTGCACCAGCCTTTTAACATGTTAAAAAGCCCCTTAGATCTTACAAACACTGCTTATAAGAGCAAGGGAATGAGTGTAGTAGCAAGTACAGATTCTTTGACATTAAAGAGAGAAATGCCACCTTACTAAGTGAGAGTACTGTAAATTTTCTACAGGTTTCTTGCAGTATCAGTCGCAAACACTACGTGCAGCTGTACTTACTGAAGTCTATCTGAGGGCAAAAAAACACAAAAGGTCTCATTTTAAGTTATTTAATGCAATTACATCAGTAGTATAGTGCAAGTAAGCTGTAGACATTTTTAGTCAGTTATTGCAAATTCATGCAGAATTAATTATCATAAATGCAATACTCAAAGGGTTTTAATTTAACAACTTTTTAATTCATAATTTAATGTAAATGCTTCTGAGTTTGCATGCCTTGATCATTGCTGCTAGTGATTTTATGTGCCGGTAGACCTGAGTTTAATTTACCAGTTTAACTTGAGAAATAGTAAAAGCCACTTACAAAGTGACTGCCTAGTGTTTGTTTGAAGTAAAATATGCCTTAGTTTGAAAATGATCATGTTTTATTACTTTTCCTTTCCTTTTCCTTTCGAAAAATAAATTAACATTTTGGGATTGGAAGCCCTGAGTAGTTAAATATTTGGTAAGAATTGTTCTTGAAGATTTCTCACTAAGGGTAAAATTTACGGTAGAAAATAAGGCCCAGAACAAGACTACTAGCATCAAATGAGCCTCACTTAAATCTAAATCGGGATCTTTCTATCCTTATGCACTTTCTTGATTCGGGTGCAAACATCTTACAAGAGTTTTCAGTTCTGGATGAATTTTACTCTGAAACAACAGATGTCTTTGCTAGAGGAGTTTAGGATTCGGAGGGACAGACAACCTCACGTGGATTGGTATTTACCAGGAACTCACTTCGGTTCTTTTTGACTCGCTGATGTCACCAGGAGCTTTAAGAATACTAAAGGGTTCCCCAAATGAAGTTTTCTTTGATACAATATTAATGTGTTTGCCTTGCATTGAAACATTATATCCATCTTAACACAACCCAATTAAGCAATTAAAAGGATGCCAGAAATATATCACTTTGTACCAAAGCAAGTTGCCCATCTCCACTCATCTTCACTCGAAATTTGGATTTACAGTTAATAACCAATGAGGCTGTTAAAGAAACTTTGAGTGCCTTTCAAAAACTTAGAAAATTGTGCCTGAGGTGGTAAACTTTAATTAGGTTAATTCTAGAGCTACCAATCAGTAATTTTGTCATCGCTCAGGGCTTTCTTACCTTCTAGGAAACTTCCATTGTTGCATTTATTTTATAGTGTATTTTTTTAAGTGCCATCGTTTAAATTTCACTTAGTAAGTGGCAGATTACATTGTTCAGTCCCACAGCACGGAAACATCATAACACTAGGATAGATTCAAACTTTTATTTTCCAGTTGACTGAATATATTATGTAAATGAGGTAAGCGACTTTTTTGTAGATTGTATGTGTGAGATAATGTAATGTTCTTTTCCAGTTTTTGGACTACAGTTGAATATACTTTTTAATTATTTAAAGAAGACATCTTTACAGAATAACGTGATGGTTTTTTTGTATAATGTATTTGATTTTGTAAATACGTATTTCCTGATGTGATTTTTGTGAGAAATGCTAAATCTTTTAGTATATCATGTCCTCTCAAAACTGGCAGGAGCTAAATAATAGTTTGTGGGCAATTTGTATTGTGTACTGTACAATAACTGGGGAACTTTTATAATTATAAAAATATATATTAACTTTTAGTGTGTTGTTTAAAAAAATGACTGGAACATACTAAAGACAGTAGGATTTTTCTGAATATTTCAGACTTGAACTCAGGCTAGCTTTTTGTGTTTTTCAAAACAAAATTGTGTCTTGTCTTTTAAAATCAATAAATTTGTTTTCTTGTTACAAACATATCTGAATTGGTTCTGTTTTTGTATAGCCAACTGTTTTGAATTGTGATACCATTGGTTTTGAGGAAGAGAATTATTTGCACTTGTGGATTTTAAATAAGACTTTATATATTTAAAGCAACAGAAGTAAGCAGTGAGTGTGTCCTCCCAGTGAACGCAGGTAGTAAGATTCCTACCAACTGAAATATCAACAGTACTTTCCCATTACCGATTTTTTCAGTTGCACAAATCCTCACTGATCTCATCAGGTTGTGTTTCTCATGGGTCTCAAGCGTGCGTGGCAGGCTCTGTTCCATACAATGTGCAGAATGCTGTTTTAATGAGGACCCCCATGTAATGGACGCTAAAATATCGAAATGATTACTGGGTATCAGTTTTAAATCAGATATTTCTCGTGTAAATATGGTAAAGATAGAAAAGCTCAAGTTTATTGGGTAGAGAAGTTAAGGTGTAGGCTATTGTCCAGACATGAGTGTAATTTCACTACAGTCCTGGTTCCTGCAATGCATCCCACTACGAATTTTCAACAATATCTATTTTTCAGCCACAGCCATGTTTACAGAATAATGCTAATTGACTGTCAATGAAGACAAAGACTTCATTGTTAGCTGGTGCCTTGCTGACAAAGTCTTGCCCCAGCACACACGCAGAAGAAAACAATCTTAGAGAAATATTTCTCATATCAAATAACAAATTGATACAGCCAACAGGCTGCAGTTTTCGGTTCATTTCCGCTATTAACAGGAAGACCCTGCAGAATTCATCCTCTGCTGCTGTTTGTATCAACTGGCTTTGTTAGTGTAATGTTCATCAGTGTAAGTTTACTGCAGCATCCCAAAGCACTGCAATCCAGAGCTCAAAGAATGGAGCACAGCGGAAGGGTAGGAGGAATTCAGACACTCTGGGTACCAAAGGAGACACTAGAGTAAGAAGGGTTAAAAATGAAACTACTTCTGTAAAGTAGTTTTCTGCATCGTGTTAATGATTCAGCACAAGAAAGATACATCCCATATCAAGTTATTTAAGTGCTTTTCATTTGACTTATCTACAGCACTAGCTTCAATTCTGTGAAAAGTCATAGAGACTGCAGCTGTAGTTCAGATCCATATCAAGGTTTACACCAAAAATCAACTGAAAGGTAAACCAGTCATTCCACAAAGACATCTGACCAAGACAGGTCAGAAGCCTTGATCCATTTATGGCATATTGACAGTACAACAGAGAGGATTTTTGCTTTTACTTGATGCTGCTGTTCTGATTTCATTTTAAGTTTTGCTAAATCCCACTTCCCTAATACCTGAGTTAAAACAATCAGTAAGACTTTTCTATTTAAAACCAAAAACTGCTTGTTCATAACTGCAACATGCTGATTAGGACGGTTTACTCTCAGCAATTTTATAAGCAGCACTGTTCTACTAAGAATCTCTCTGCGTACTGATATTTTTCACTGGCACACTGTACGCAAAATCTGCTCTGCTTCCATTATCAGAGTTGAGGGGAGGCACAGTAGGTCATTGCTCGTTTAGTAATTAGCAGTTAGTAAATCAGACATACTTTCAGAGATGGAACTGGTATAAAAGCTGCTGCCTCGAGCTGCTTCCTTTGCAGCTGAATTATTGTTGCCCACAGCAGAGCCACACTAATGGATGGTGTCCTGACATAAGAAGAGCTATTGCCTGAAGCAGCCACACCTCTTCCATGGAACACCCTGAACCCCTGATGGAGCTGAAAAGTAGCAATTCTGCAGGTCAGTAACACATCTTTAACCTGGTGAGGCCGCAATCTAGTAAAAATACACAAAAGGAAAAGATATTATTGAGTCTGTGTGCACAAGTTAAAACAATTAACCCCTCCAAACTATCCTTCCTACCTTCTTTTCTAGAGCATTATGAAGAGCAGCAACACCCCAGCCCTCACCCCATTGTGTTACTTGTGTGCCATCAACTCAGTGTTCTTCAGGCTCTGGCACTTAGGAGAGGCAGAATTGCTCTGTTAGCACTTCCATGCTTATCACTGATAAGCATGCTCTCACCTTATATTCAGGCTACCTACAGATTCATTTTTCTGTGCTGAGCAAACAGTGTTGAGGCTTCACACAGCAATCAGCACAGCAATCAACACAGCTTTTCACTTGCTCCACTCTCATCTCAGTGGGATAGTGGAGAAACTTGGAAAAAAAAAAAAAAAAAAAAAAAAAAGTAAAACTGTTTCTGGATCAACCTGTATTTGCTAAAGCAGAAAAAATCAACCTGTATTTGCTAAAACAGAAAAAGAAGTAAGAGTAATGATAATTAAATATAAGACTGTATATAAATGTGCTTGTACACACATACATATCTATACCTATACATGTATAGATAATCATAGAATGATTTGGGTTGCAAAGGATCTTTAAAATCATCTAGTTCCAACCCTCTGATATAGGCAGGGACACCTCCCTCTAGATCAGGTTGATTAAAGCCCCATCCAGCCTGGCCTTGAGCACCATCAGGGAGGGGGCATCCACAGCTTCTCTGTGTCCCACCACCCTCCCAGTAAATAATTTCTTCTTAATATCTAGTCTAAATCTACCCTCTTCCAGTTTTAAGACATTTCCTCTTCCCTTTCACTACATGCCCTTACAAAAAGTCCCTCCCCAGCTTTCTTTTGGGCTCCGTTTGGCTACTGGAAGGTCACTACAATGTTCCCCTGGAGCCTTCTCTTTTCCAGGCTGAAGAGCCCCAGCTCTCTCAGACCGTTCCTATAAGGAGGTACTCCAGTCCTCTGATCACCTTTATGGCCTTCCTCTGGACATGCTCCAGCAGTTTGATGTCCTCCATGTGTTGGGGTCCCCAGAACTGAATGCAATACTATATATACATACATGTGTGAGGGTATATATGTATGTATACACACACACATACATATATACACATATATACGTATACAATATATGTATACACACACACACATTTGTTTACTTATAAAACAAGTAATGCACAATGCAGTTGCTCAGCACCCACCAAACAATAACTAGCCAGACCCCATATGGCAGCTTGGCCCACTGCCCTCAGTTTCATAGTTTTTCCACATGATGCCATACAGCATGGGACATCCTCTTGGTCACTTTGGGTCAACTACCCTGGTTCTGTCCCCTCGCAGATCTTCAAGTCCCCTCAGACCCCTGCTGACAGGATAATACAAGAAGCTGAAAACTGAAATGTCCTTGTCTCTGTGCAGCATTGTTCAGTACCAGCTGAAATATCAGTGTTTTATCAGCATTGTAAGATTTTTTTTTTTCCTGAAGTCAGAAGAGCATTGTACCAGACCCTGAATAAAACCAACTCTGTCCCATCTTGAAACAAGGACAACATTCACCCTTCTTCCATGCCATTTATGTCATGCTCAAGTTCCACCATTTCCTATACATCCCAATTAATTAACATCTATCTTACTTTTTTATACTTACCACCACAGATTCTTGTTATCTGTGAGTTATCCCTCTGAACTGTCAGAGGAGTACATTTCATCCCTGACTTAGGGATCCATCTGTAATAACAGACTTTTACGGCAGGAGGGATGATGGATGGTACTGGATTCCTGCATGCTGAAGTCAGTTCTGCTTCCATTATAGAATCACATTATAGAATGTTTAGAATTGGAAGGGACTTTCAAGATCATCTAGCTCCAACCCCCTGCTATAGGCAGGGACACCTCCCTCTAAATCGGGCTGATTAAAGCCCCATCCAGCCTGGTCTTGAGTGCTTCCAAAGGGAGGGGCGTACACAATCTCACTGTGCAATCTGTTCCAGTGTCTCACCACCCTCACAACAATCTCCCCCTAATATCTAGTCTAAATCTACCCTCTTTCAGTTTAAAATCATTTCTCTCCACCCTGTCACTACATGCCCTTATGAAAAGTCCTTCCCCCAGGTTTCTTGTGGGCCCTCTTCAGGTACTGGAATGCTGCTACAAGGTCCCCCTTGAGCTGCCTTTTCTCCAGGTTGAAGAGCCACAACTCTCTCAGCCTGTTCTCACTGGGGAGGTGCCCCAGATCTTTGATCCTTTCTGTGGCCTTTCTCTGGACTTGCTCCAATGGCTTCATGTCCTTCCTGTGTTGGGGCCTCAGAACTGGACGCAGTATTCCAGGTGTGGTCTCACGAGCGCAGAGCAGAGGGGCGAATCACCTCCCTTGACATGCTGGTCACACTTCTCTTGATGCAACCAAGCATTTCTGGGATGAAATCAGTATTGGTTGAATTGGAAGAGATCCTTAAAGCTCATATAGTCCCTCTCCCCTTGAATGAATACCTATAGCTAGATAAGTTTGCTTAGAGCCTGACCTTGAATGTCTCCAGAAATGGGGCATCTAGCACCTCTCACAACTTATTCCACTGCTTCACTTTATCACAAAAAAAAAACCATTTTCTTATATCCAATCTAAACATCATCTCTTTCAGTTTTAAGTCATTTCCCCTTGTCCTCTCACAACAGATTCCAATGAAGAGTCTGTTCCCCTCCTTCCTATAAACTCCTTTTAGATACTGAAAGCCTACTATCAGGTTTCTCTGCCTGTCCTCGTAGGACAGATGTTCCATCCCTTGGATCATTTTTGTAGCCCTGCTCTGGGTCATAACAACCAATAGGTCTATATCTCTGACTCCAGGTCAAGCCTCACCAGCAAAGAGTAGAGGTACAGGATCACCTCCCTTGCCATGCTGGCCACAATTCTTTTAATGCAGCTCAGGATATGATTGCCTTTCTAGGCTGCAAGGGCACATTGTTGGCTCAAATCCCATTGCCATCCACCAGTACCCCCACATCCTTTTCAGTAGGGCTGTGCTCTATAGCTACACCCCTCAGTTTGTACCGATAGTGGGGTCTGCCACAATCCAGATGCAAAGGCTTTGCACTTTGCTTTGTTGAATCTTACACTGTTCTCTGGGGCCCACTGCTTGAGTCAGCCTAGGCCCCTCTGGATAGCATCCTATCCCTCAGGCATGTCAACTGCACCTCACAGCT